CACAAGCTGGAATCAAGATTGCCGGGAGAAGTATCAATAACCTCGGATATGCAGATGACACCACCCTTATGGCAGAAAGTGAATAACTAAACAGCCTCTTGATGAAAGTGAAAGAGGAGAGTGAAAAAGTTGGCTTAAAGCTCAACATTCAGAAAACTAAGATCATGGCATCCAGTCCCACTGAAGAATTGATGCTTTTGAGCTGTGGTGTTGGAGAAGACTCTTGAGAGTCCCTTGGACTGCAAGGAGATCCAACCAGTCCATCGTAAAGGAGATCGTCCAGTGTTCACTGGAAGGACTGATGTTGAAATTGAAACTCCAATACTTTGGCCACCTGATGTGAAGAGCTGACTCATTTGAAAAGACTCTGATGTTGAGAAATATTTAAGGCAGGAGAAGAAGGGGACAACAGAGGATGAGATGGTTGGATGGCCTCACCAACTCAATGGACATGAGTTTGGATAGGCTCCGGGAGTTGGTGATGGACAGGGATGCCTGGTGTGCTGTGGTTTATGGGGTCGCAAAGAGTCGGACACGACTGAGTGACTGAATTGAACTGAACTTTCCATTGTATATACATACTTCATCTCTATCCATTCATTCACTGGTGGACACTTACACTTGATAGGTACAGAAAAGAGAATCTGCATCTCTCTGAAACTTTCTGAGAAAAAGTCCTGCCAGAATGTGTGTGTGCTTAGTCATTCAGTTGTGTCTGACTCTTTGTGATCCAAAGGACTGTAGCCCGCCAGGCTCCTCTGTCCATGGGGATAAGTCCCATGCACACAAGGGACTGCTACTAAGCCATAAGAACGAAGGAAATATTGCCATTTGAATCAACATGGATGGTTCTAGAGAAATCCACTTGGTTTCACAAGTCAGACAAAGAAAGATAAATGTATGTCACTTACATGTGGAATCTAAAAGATGATACAAGTGAACTTACAAAACAGAAAGACTTGACGATATAGAAAACAAATGTATGGTTACTACAGGGGGAGGGAGGATAAATTAGGAGCATGGGATTAACCGATACACATACTGTATATAAATAGGCAGAAATAAGTACTGTAGAGCACAGAGAATTACTGAAATACTCAGTATCTTCTAATTACCTATAAGGAAAAGAATCTGAGAAAGACTATATACACATAAATGTTCATGCATAACTGAATCACTTTATTGTACACCTGAAACTTACACAATACAACTATACTTCAATAAAAAAAACAACAAGAAAGAAAAGCGTTGGGTAGACACAAACCGAATTGACCCATTTATTTTTCCCTCCTCCCCACAGTCCCCACATTTCACCAGAGAAGGGCAGTATGAGACACCCATTTGACCATTACCATGCCTGCAGGGAAGATCCCCTGGAGGTGGGCATAGCAACCCACTCCAGCGTTCCTGCCTGGAGAATGTCCCCGTGGACAGAGGAGCCTGGCGGGCTACATGGGGTCGCAAAGAGTCAGACACGACAGACCAACTAAGCACACACGCAGAATCCGGCAGCGCTTTTTCTCAGAACGTTTCAGAGATGCAGATTCTCTTTTCTGTACCTATCGAAAGCCAGACACTTCATTTCAAACTACGATAAACATAAGTGTACCCCTTGAAAACGCTGGATGATCCAGGTGACAAATACAGGATCAGGCTCCAGCTGTGTGATGAGAAGTTTGAGGGGAATCAGATTAAGAGCTGATAAGGATAGGCCCACGGTCCTTCTGTTAAGTAAAAGAATCGAGGAGTCTTGGTAAGGAGGAATCATGGGAAAAGAATAAAGAACTCAGGTGGAAGCCCAAGGACAGCCCTTTCTTCTTTCTGCCTCTGAGAAAACAGGCAGCAACTAGTAACTGAGTCCTGCTTCTCTCCTTGACTATGGCAGTTTCACCACATTATATAAAGGCATCATTAAGAAATGAAAACAGGTTTATGATGTGAGGCATTCTGATAGTAACTCTTTCAGATAAAGAAACAAAAAGTGAGAGGGAAAAACCCAATGACATGGTAAGTCAGCTATCTGTAGATATGAGATGGGGAAGAGATCTTATGAAAAGAATTTCTAGTTCTTACAGCCAAATGGTAATCACTATGTAAACAGTACCTCAAACAATTAAAATAGAACTACCATATGATTCAGCAACCCCAGTTCTAGGTATTTATCTAAATGACTTGAAATCCAGGATCTTGAAGAAATACCTACACCCCCATGTTCACTGCCACAGTATTACGATAGCCAAGGTACAGAAACAACCTAAGTGTCCATCAGTGGATGAATGAGTGGAGAAGACAGGTTATGTATACACATGGAATGTTAATCAGCCTTAGTAAAGAAGTAACCCTGGCATATGGGACAACATGGAATAAATCTTGAGAGCATTATGCTGAGTGAAATAAGCTAATCATAGAAGGACATATGCTACTTGACTACTTGTATGTAGAATTTAAAGGGTCAACACCATGACCCATACTCTTCCCTAAACTCACTGAATTGAAAAAAAGAATCCAGTTCTTCAGCAAATTTAAAATTATATCATACCATGGTTTAGACATTTCATAGAATCATTTATTTCCTAAACAACTTTAAAAACATTAATGAAACTATTTCTAATATTTCAGACTGGATTCCTGCTAAATTAAAGGGGACTTTTGAAAGAACATGTTACTTCCAGTGCTGAACATCTGAATTTTCATTCCTGCAGCAGATGAGTGGAAGGATCAGTTAAGCTCAGTTCAGTCCCTAGGTCATGTCTGCCACTTTGTGACCCCATGGACTTCAGCACACCAGGCTTTCCTGCCCATCACCAACTCCCAGAGCTTGCTCAAACTCATATCCATCGAGTCAGTGATGCCATCCAACCATCTCATCCTCTGTCATCTGCTTCTCCTCCCACCTTCATTCTAGCCCAATATCAGGGTCTTTTCCAATGAGTCAGCTCTTAGCATCAGGTGGCCAAAGAATTGGAGTTTCAGCTTCAGCATCAGTCCTTCCAATGAATATTCAGGGTTGATTTCCTTTAGGATTGACTGGTTTGATCTTGCAGTTCAAGGGACTCTCAAGAGTCTTCTTCAACACCACAGCTCAAAAGCATCANATGAGTCAGCTCTTAGCATCAGGTGGCCAAAGAATTGGAGTTTCAGCTTCAGCATCAGTCCTTCCAATGAATATTCAGGGTTGATTTCCTTTAGGATTGACTGGTTTGATCTTGCAGTTCAAGGGACTCTCAAGAGTCTTCTTCAACACCACAGTTCAAAAGCATCAATTCTTTGGCGCTCAGCTTTCTTTATGGTCCAACTCTCACATTCGTACATGACTACTGGAAAAACCATAGCTTTGACAAGACGGACGTTCATCAGCAAAGTAATGTCTCCGCTTCTTAATATGCTGTCTAGGTTGGTCATAGCTTTTCTGGCAAGCAGCAAGCGTCTTTTAATTTCATGTCTGCAGTCACCATCTGCAGTGATTTTGGAGCCCCCCAAAATAAAGTCTCCCACTGTTTCCATTGTTTCCCAATCTGTTTGCCATGACGTGATGGGACCGGATGCCATGATTCTAGGTTTCTGAACGTTGTGTTTTAAGCGAACTTTTTCACTCTCTTCTGTGATTTTAATCAAGAGGCTCTTCAGTTCTTCTTCACTTTCTGCCATAAAGGTGGTGTCATCTGCATATCTGACATTATTGATATTTCTCCTAGAAATCTTGATTCCAGCTTGTGCTTCATCCAGCTGGGCATTTTGCATGATGTACTCTGCATATACATTAAATAAGCAGGGTGACAATATACAGCCTTGATGCATTCCATTCCTGATTTGGAACCAGTCTGTTCTTCCATGTCCAGTTCTAACTGTTTCTTTCTGACCTGCATACAGATTTCTCAGGAGGCAGATAAGGTGGTCTGGTATTCCCATCTCTTTTAGAATTTTCCAGTTTGTTGTGATCCACACGGTTAAAGGCTTTGGCATAGTCAATAAAGCAGAAGTCGATGTTTTTCTGGAAGTCTCTTGCTTTTCCGATGATCCAACGGATGTTGGCAATTTGATCTTTGGTTTTTCTGCCTTTTCTAAATCCAGCATGAAGATCTGGATGTTCACGGTTTACGTACTGCTGAAGCCTGGCTTGGGTATTTTGAGCATGACTTTAGTAGCCTGTGAGATGAGTGTATCTGTGTAGTAATTTGAACATCTTTTGGTAAAGCCTTTCTTTGGCTTGGAATGAAAACTGACCTTTGCCAGCCCTGTGGCCACTGTTGAGTTTTCCAAATTTGCTGCCATATTGAGTGCAGCACTTTCACAGCATCATCTTTTAGGATTTGAAATACCTCAACTGGAATTCCATCTCTCCATTAGCTTTGTTTGTAGTGATGCTTCTAAGGCCCACCTGACTTCGCATTCCAGGATGTCTGGCTCTAGGTGAGTGATCACACCATCGTGATTATCTGGGTGGTGAAGATCTTTTTTTGTATAGTTCTTCTGTGTATTCTTGCCACCTCTTCTTAATATCTTCTGCTTCTGTTAGGTCCATACCAGTTCTGTCCTTTATTGTGTACATCTTTGCATGAAATGTTTCCTTGACATCTCGAATTTTTTTGAAGAGCCCTCTAGACTTTCACATTCCATTCTTTTCCTCTATTTCTTTGCAATGATCATGGAGGAAGGCTTTCTTATCTCTCCTTGCTATTCTTTGAAACTCTGCATTCAGAGTTTGGAAGGATCAGCTCTGTAGAATAAAATACGTGGAACGATGCAGTTAAGTATGTGAGTTTTGTTTTGGTTCTATTTCCGCGTGGGAGATCAGCCCCTGTTGGTTAGTCTTCCTCTGGATGTGACAGAGCCCATCTTTGGCCTCTTGCAAAAAACAAAGAACTCTGACAGGAAACCACCTCACCCAGAGGCCAGGCTGGAGAATCTGCGCGCCACGCCCCGGCCAACTCGGGAGGCGGGGCTACCCAGCCCCGCCTCCTCGTCGAGCCACGTCCGCCCCAAGCCCCTCCCTCTAAGCGGAGGCGGGGCCCCCCATCAGAGTTAAGTGCCTCCAGGCCTAGCGCCGTGTATTGCCCTTCTGCCATGGATCGAGACCGAGCTTCCGCTCGCTTGCGCGTCTTGCTGCGACACCTCAGTTGCCGCTCGGCGGGGACCGTTGTATCCTTTGGGATCGCGGGGTTTGAGCCGGAAGTGTGGCGGCTTTCAGGGCGCATTGTACAACCTGCCCGCTGGCTCTTCCTGGCTCCGCAGCACCTGTCCTCGTGATGGTCACATCTCTTTCGGGCGCGGGGGGGCCAGGTCAGGTGCGTCCCGAAGGCCCAAGAGGGGACTTGTCCGCCTGGTGGGTCTGGGGCTGCTGGCTCCAGCTCCTGGAGTGGCGTCGCTGCAGCCTTCCGGGCCCTCTGTTCCCCGGCTTTGGGAGGGGAGGGTGCGAAGTCCAAGCAGGCCTGCTCTCTGCTGCCCTGTCACTTTCTGCACTGGACCGCGCCTGATCACAGGGCTGCCCAGAGACAGAGACGAGACCTGGGGCGTAGAGCCACGTGGAGGAGCAGAGGGGTCCTCTCGGGGTGGAGCTGCCCCCCAGCTCTTCCTTCTCCAGGCGAGTCCGGTGAAGCTTACAGTTTCCTGGAGAAGCGCTGGGCGTCCTGTGTCCGCTCCTGATAGGCCTTCTGAAATTAATCCCAGGGCAATCTGTGCGCCACCGGTGTTGGATCCAGAGAGATGTCACTGTGTGACTCAGAAATCAACTTGCTTTACAGAATTGTTTTTGCGTGTTCAGTGATCTCATTCAGGGCGCACAACACGGGCTGGGATTTCTTTTTTTTTTTACCCGTAAGTGACTGCATTCGACTCTGCTCTGCTATATTTAGATTCTGAAATCTCTCCTAAAACGATTATACTATTTCTTTTACTTCCATTGTTGTTCTCCCAACTGTGTTCCAAGCCTTGACGTATTCGAATCGTTATAAATTTAAAATCTCCCCCCACAAACTGGGAAAGGGAACCCAAGTGACTATGTAATCTCACTTTACAGGTGAGAAAACATTTGAGGTTAGGAGAAACTAACATTCCTGAGCAAGGTCATTTAACGGAATCAGTGGTTGTCAAAGCGCGGTCCCCAGAGCAGCCCCAGCAGGACTACCTAGGTAGTTGCTACAAATCCAGGTAGTCAGGCTCCTCTTAGACCTGTGGTATCAAATGCCTGGGGGCGGGAATAGCAACCTGCTTTCACTTGGTGTGATACTATTAATAGTTCAGTTTTGAAAAGTGCCAACATATGGGCCTAGATATAACTAGAAGTAGATTAAGGTTTCCCGGTTCCAGTCTGTTACTATTTTTAAATTTTAATTGTGGGTTTTTTTTTCTTTTTTGCGGGGGTGGTGGGGGGTGAGGTTGTGGGAGGAGGGCGGGCATGCTCACAGCACCTAGGCTTTTAGTTCCCCGACCAGTGATCGAACCCATCTGTGCCCGCTGCAGTGGAAGCACAGAGTCCTAACCATTGGACCGACAGGAAATTTCCTAAAATTTAATATTCTGATCTCACTGGACTTAGTTATAATAGTGTCAAGGTCAGAGCTTGTTTTTTTCATCTCTATTTCCTAGAACAGCACTGTCCAATACAAGCTCCTGTGATGGAGGAAAAATGTTTTTTGCCGGCACTGTTCAGTATGGTAGCTACATGTGGCTATGAGCACTTGAAATGTGACAGTCAGCTTAAGGAACTGAAGTTTTCATTTTAATTCACTTCAATTTACATAGCCAGAAGTGGTGAGTGTCTCTGCCTAAATTTTCAGTGAATATGTGTGTGGTTTAGGCTTAAAGAAACTACTAGAAATTATGTGGCTATTTCCTCCCAACCTTAATGATTCCTTGAAGAAATAAGGAATAATTTTTGAAGTATCAGTGCAGTGTTTAAATGTACATAAACACAAAGAAGAAAATCTATATGACTCATAATTTGACTTCTCACAGATTATTATTTGTAAACACTTTGGTCTGTTTTTTTTCCTATGTATTTACATAACTGCATAATTACATGTTCAGGACCACGCTGTACTGTACAGATTTTTGAATCCATTTGTTTCCATGTTTACTAGCTTTGTATAGTAAACATAGTAAATGATTATTAGCTTTGTAAACATTTCCACATACTAAGAAAACTCTCCAAGAACAACAATAACTAAAATAAAAACCATAATACAGGAGTGGGAGAGAGGAGAAAAGGACTGGAAAGCTGATGTCTGGACTGTCCTGGCCGCCACATTTTGTTGAGAATAGCTGACAAAGAGGTTAACTCTCTCCCTCGGGTAAACAGACAGAAGCTAGTAATTCTGACTCCTGGGCCCCCTCTCTCCTTGACTTTTTTTCATTTTCCACACTGGAGGCTTGTGGGATCTTAATTTCCTGACCAAGGCCTGAACCCAGGCCCTGGGCAGTGAAAGGCCCAGGTCCTAACCACTGGACTGCCAGGGAAGTCCCATCTTCTTGACTGTTATATTGTCCCCACATATACAGACATCATTCAAAAAGGATCACATGTTTATGTGAAGTGTCATTCAGAAAGTAGCTCTTTCAGCTCAAGAAACAATGAAAAAAATGACCAAAACAGATGAGATCCTAGGTCAGTCATCTGGTGATGACTGGAGAGAAAACTAGAAGGAACTTTTAGATGTTTTAAGATATTTAAGAATGATACTCTACTATGTGGATCATATTTTTCTTGGAGTCATTGTTTATTTCATGAACTTTTTTTTTTCTTTTGAGAAACCACAGGTTGGTCAGAGGCGTGTGAAAGGCTGTATGCTGCGTGCAGATCTTAAATCAAAGGCAACTAATGTTTCTTTAATCCACTCATTTTCCAAGTATTTTCCAGCCTTGATACAACTGGAAGATGCAATTCAGTTCTATCAGAGTGATTTTGAAAACGTTTTATTTTATATTGGAGTCTGTGGATTAACAATTTTGATAGTCTCAGGTAGACCAGCAGAGGGACTCAGCAATACATATACATGTATCCATCCTCCCACAAACTGCCTCCCATCCAGGCTGCCACATAACATTGAATAGAGTTCCCTGTGCTATACAGTAGGACTTTTTTGATTATCCATTTTAAATATAGCAGTATGAACGTGTCAATCCCAAGCCAGAGTGATTTTTTTAACTGAGGGCAGCATCTTGTAGCTTGAACTCTAGTAGGGGTTTGAAAAAGTTCTCTGGGTGAATCTGATACTCATCATACCCACTTCATCTGAGAAATACTGCTTTACAGAGAGGTACTCCATGAAACTAACAAGTTCTTATTCTTGAGCCAGAGTTGGCAAGCATTTTTTATAAAGGTGTTCTTTTTTTTTTTTTTTACTGACCAGCCAAACTGTTTCTAATATTTTGGACTAACTCCCACTAAGAAAAAAACTTTTGAATAGAACATGATTCTCCTCATTTATTGGATAGAATAAAATAAAAAATTTCCATTTTTATTCACTCAGTAGTTTGGTGGAAGGAATATCCAGGGGGAATAAAATAGATAGGAAGTATGAATACAATGTTGGTCAAGTCTCAGCTCAGCTGTTTTCTGTTGGGTGACCTTGGAGCAGTAACTGAACCCTGACCCCAGCCTAGGGTTTCTGCTCTGTGCAGTTGGAATAATAAAGCTCTTGGCTTCCAGGCACCTCTTTAGGCTATTGTGAAATGAGATGATCTAAGCAATAGTGCTTCGGAGCGTTTGTGTGTAGTCAGTGTGCCTGATGACTGTGTAGGGCTGGTCTTCCCTTGTGAAAACCAATCCAGGGTGGGTTGATTCTAGAAGGGTGATGCCCAGACTTCACTTGATTTGCCTTAAGTCACATCCTAGATAGCTCGCCACACTTCGGGGGTTGGTTCTCTTGCCAGTTTCCATCCTCAACAATTCCAGTAAGTAGATATAATTTTAATTCTTAACCATACAATGTATATAAAGGTGTTTTCTTCCTCAGTGATAACTCAGTTATAAAATACATATTGGCTGATAAGATTTATTATACAAATCCTCTGAATCCAGGACTTGTTCTCATTAGAACAATTATGGAAAATTTTGAAGACACTTTTTGTATGTATTTTAAAATTTAGAAAGAAGGGAAAATGTCACAAAGTGCATGTTTATTTTGCAAAATTAAGGCATGGTATATCTCATTTAAATAGCCAGTTTTTTGGTCACTCTGATATCTCAGCTACCATCTTTGGTTTATCTTAAAGTCATCTTTGAAGTGGAAGACATTGATCTCCATGGAATATTCTCATAGAGTCACAGTTCCAAACTAGAGGAATGGACAGGGGGATTTGAGTTTGTGTGTGTGCAGTACACTTATTATGATTTTGTTACTTTGATTTCCTCCGTTAATGCACAAACCAGACAATTAAAAACATAAAATATATTATTTGTTTCCTTTCTGAAATACCATACATATTTGTTACAGATATATTTTAACATCACAGAAATAGGGTAAATTTAAGAAATCATTCATAATGCCATTACATAAAGGCAATAAATGTTTCACTGTGAAACATTTTTGTTTTGGCTTTATTTCTTTATAGTCTTCTTGTTTTAAACAAATAGTGTCTTGGTTTTACATCACTGTCATCACATTTTAATTTAATAAGCACTGTCCTTGCTATTATATGTTCTTCATTTTTAATGTCGAGTCATATTCCATTGAAAGGATATAATGTAGTCAGTTAATTATTCTTTCATTTCTTGGTGACAGTAATTAATATTTTGGATTTAAAACTTAAAATTTGTTCAGATTATTTGTTTAAAGTTCTAGAAATAAACTTGGTGAGTGGAAGAGTACAAACATTTCTGAGGTTCTTGATAAATATTGTTAGGTTATGATTTTTAAACTAGACTTATTTGAGATTTTTTTTTCCCTTCAGGTATACTCGGGAGAATAATGTTCTAAGCCTAGAACAGAGAAAATTCTATGAAGAAAATGGATTTCTTGTCATTAAAAATTTGGTGTCTGATGCTGATATTCAACGCTTTAGGTGCAGTAACACTCTGATATCTAAGAGGAATGTGTATTCTGTGTGTGCAGTGGGACTTTGGGGAGGATTATCTTGTGTGTGTTCAGATATTTTTCAGGGATCAGGTTTGTTAGGAAGCGGCTTGTTAGAACCTGGGTTTGAGCCAGAGTGGCTTTAATCTCAGCCTCTTCAGTTAATGTTGCAGGTGTAGGGCAATTTCCTTAACTTTTCCATGCCTGTTTCTATGTCTGCAGAATGGGGAAAATAACAGTACTTATGTCCTAGAATGGCCTTTAGGACTAAACAGGTAAAGTAGAGACAGAGTTCTTTGAACAGGGCCTGGTGCATGGTGATGCTAGGGAAGTGTTTGCTAGTTTGTTCTGATGAAACCAAATCACAAATATTTCCCCACTGGTCCACTAAGCTACGGACTATTCTAATTCTGGTGGCGAATTTCAACTCCACAGTTAGGAGGCAGGCACTTCTGAGTTGGCCATTTTCTCCTTCCTGTCATCAGAACTATTCGACATAGGATTGAGGGCCACTTAGTGCAGAGAAACCACTCCCAAGTCTTCTAGTCTTTCCACAGAACAAGTGAAAGGCCGGGCAGGTGCTTAGCGCCTTCGGTACTGACATCATTTACCAATGAATTTTCTAGGAATGAGTTTGAAAGAATCTGCAGAGAGGAGGTGAAACCATTTGGATTGTCGGTGATGAGAGATGTCACCATCCCAAAATCAGAATATGTGCCAAGCGAGAAAGTGGTTTCCAAGGTCCAGGATTTCCAAGAAGATGAGGAACTCTTCAGATACTGCACCCTCCCTGAGGTTCAAGATCTTTCTGTGATTTCTTTCTCTTTAAACTAATAGCCCATCTGCATGTCTGCCTCTGAAATCTTTATAGCTTTTTTCCCCCATTTTATGTTGCCGTTTTCTACTGGGCTTCCCAGGTGGCGCTAGTGTTAAAGAACCCCCCTCTACTGCAGGAGTTTTTAGAGACATGGGTTCGATCCCTGGTTTGAGGTAATCCCCTAGAGAAGGAAATAGCAGCCCACTCCAGTATTCTTGCCTGGAGAAGCTCCTGGACAGAGGAGCCTGGAAGCTACAGTTCATGGAGTTGCAAAGAATCAGATCTTGCTGTTTTCTACTGGGGCCCTATAGCAGTGGTTCTTAATCAGAGGCAGACATTTGGCAATGTCTGGAGTCATGTTTGCTTGTCAGGCAGGAGGGTGGTGGGTTTTAATGGGTAGAGATCCGGATGCTGCTACTGGGTCCAGGGATGCTATAATGCACAGAATAGCCTGTTGCAGCAAACAAAGAATGATGAGCCCAAAATGTCAGTAGTGCCAAGACTGAGAAATCCTCCTAATTTTGCTATTTTTGCTGGAGAAGAGCAGGAATTCTGTGTAAGGAGAGAGCATTCTCACACTCCCTACAGGCATGAGCATTCTCACACTCCCTACAGGCATGAGCATTCTCACACTCCCTACAGGCATGTCCACGGGGAATAAAGTGCTGAGGCTTACCTATTGCAGATAGTTTCAATTTGTTTTATGAATCTGGTCAGCAGAGGTGTCTGTTTTTAAATTTAAAGTAGGTTTCTTAAAAATTATTCTTTAAGAGTAGTTCATAGTTACAAAAATATCTAGTGTGGAATGACATGAGTGAAAAGTAAATTCTCGTACCCTCAGCACCATTCACTGTTCAATTTACATATTCATCTAGAATCGTTTCAGGTATAATCAAGCATGTTTGTATAACCCCACGTTTTGTGTAACAGGAAGCATCCTGGTTGTCACCTTGTTTTTCCCACTGGTAGTACATATGAGACATCTTTCCATTGGTGTCTATGGATCTACTTTATACTTTGTAAACTATTGCATAGTATTCCCTTGCATGAATGTGTTGGTTTCTTTTTTTATTATTTCTTTCTCATTTATTTATTTTTGCTCGTGCTGTGTCTTCGTTGTTGTGCGTGGGCTACTCTCTAGTTGAGGTGCATGGGCCTCTCATTTCAGTGGCTTCTCTTGCTGCGGCTCGCAGGCTCCAGAGCTGGCGCTCGGCAGCTGTGCTGCGTGGCCTTAGGTGCTCCTTGCGTGTGGAACCTTCCTGGAGCAGAGATCAAATCCATGTCCCCTGCACTGGCAGCGGGGTTCTTATCCACTGTAGCATAAGGAAGTCCTGTACTACGGTTTCTGACCGTTCATTTAGAATGGTTTAAAAGGACACTTTGCACAAAATACTTATTAGAACTTATACCCCAAGTGCTGTTAGAAAGTCTGATTCATGAAGACTGCACAGCTGAGGCACCTGGGAGGTCTGGCCTCTTGAGCTGGGGACGAGAAGGGATGTGGCCCCTCTGAACCCTGCGTTCTTCCCAACCTCTTGTCCTGTTTTGGAAATGAAAATTGTGAGGGTGGATCTTGATAAAAGCTGGAAATTATCGGCAACATGTGGTAGAATGTCTTGTCAGGATGTTCCTTTGTCTGTAACTTGCAAACATGTGTCTGGTGGTTCATGCAATGATTTTTTAGGAGGTAGATATTCTTCTAATAGCTAGGTATTTATTTTAATATGTATTGGAAAAATGAACCAGCACCTCAAACCCGTGATTTCAAGAATAGTATTCATCAGGATAAGACTAAGATAAGACATACGGAGAATATCCGCTAAATATATTGGGAAGTTCTTCAAAGCAGAACAGAAAATCTGAGGATGGCTCTTGAATGATGACCGTTGAGAAAATCACAGCCTAGGAGAGATAAATTGGAAGACTGGGATTGACACGTACACACACTGTATATAAAACAGACAACTAATAATGATTACTGTATAGCAGAGGGAACTCTACTCAAAACTCAGTAATGGCCTGTATGGGAGAAGAATCTTAGTGTATATGTGTAACACTTTCATTTCACTATACACCTGAAACGAATACATTATAATTCAACTATACCCCACTCAAAATTAAAAAAAAAAGTAAAAAACAACACTTTTTCCATGTTTGGAATACCCCCAAAATGACAAAAACAAACTTTTTATTAAAAAAAACAAGCATTAGGCTGGACTTCTGGGATTTTTGTAACATTTCAAGTGTTTTATACTCAAATTGCCTACATTCCTTATGCAGAAGAGATTATATAAGTGAAAGCCATAGAATGTGCTTCATTTTTTGGAGTCAGACAGCAGTAGAGGTTGAATATGGATGTGAATTTGAGCAAACTCTGAGAGACAGTGAAAGACAGGGAAGCCTGGTGTGCTGCAGTCTGTGGGGTCTCAAAGAGTCAGACAGGACTTAGTGACTGAACAACATCATCGTCTTTTTCTTTCAATTGGCCCTGCCAATTTGGGCATCTTTTTCATTGGAGGTTTAATTCCTGCCCTTCGTAGCTGGTGTCTCAGAAAAACTCATGTCTCTCTTGTAGAAGAAGCACTTAGATTTTCAGTTGGTTCCAAAAAGCCTGTTTGAGAGTGTTTCCGATGATTTCCAGTTACTCACTCTTGCGTGGTTTGTTTGCAAGTCTGTGAAGTATTGGTTGACTGATTTAAACGATGCCAACTGGGTTCTAGTATTGATAGATGTACTCTGTGCCGCATGCTTGTGCATCTGATTTCCCTCCTTTTTCCTTAGATTCTGAAGTATGTGGAGTGCTTCACCGGACCCAATATTATGGCCATGCATACGATGCTGATAAACAAACCTCCAGATTCTGGTAAAGAGCTCTTATTGGTAAAGGGAAAGAAAAGCAAACAAAGAAAGAAGAAAAAAAGAAAGAAAGAAAAATAGCAAAGTGCACAACTGCTAAATTTTTACATAAATGAATATATATACTTTCACTTAAGGCTCAAAGTAGCTTACACCATAACAACACTGAAGTATAATAGTGATGTCGATATTAATTATGGGGTTATTGCTGGGACTGTAGACAAGCGGCTTCTGAAAGATGCAGTTTAATAAAACACGACTGTCTCTCTACCCCCCAGACTCCTGATATTCAACACCTCTAAGCTTTGTTACCCACTCTCACCGATGCATGAGAGTGTGGACTTTGCCTTCCTGATCTGAAGACAGTATTATTAGTAACAAATTTAAAACTGATTTATCACCTACCATAATGATTCTTAAAAGTCCCTGTACTTGGTAAAATGTAGCTTCTAAGCCCTCCCTGCTAGAGAGACTGATTCAGAAAATAGAACCTAGGAATCTGCATTTTATTAAGCGTACTCAGAGATGCTAATGCAGATGGCTCTTGGGCCACACTGAGAAACTCAGCTGCATCAGTGGTAGGAAATCAGCCATTAGAGACCTTTGATCCGGTTCGACTTTGTCTCTGTCCTGATGGCCAAGGGAGGTTTATGCACTAAGCCTGGAGCCTAACATCAGCAGGCCTTTCCCTCCCTGGGGGTCCTGCCTGGAGAAATCCCCTGGCCTGGGGGAACCACGTTCAGAGGGCAATTCTAGGGGAGACTGTGAAAGTGGGCGTAGTATCTCTGGTTCTCCACAGTGATTGTACACCAAATAGCTCTAGTTTGGTGGGGAAACCTCTGAGAGTCCTACTATTTATATCTTTAGTTAACTAATGAACACTTTTTAAATATCAGCCACTTAGTTTATCAGACAGCCTCAGATTTGACCACTCTCTTTAACTAGTCAACCTTTTTGGGGAATACCCTCCAATATGTTGGCCACCTGCTGGGAAGAACTGACTCATTAGAAAAGACCCTGATGCTGGGAAAGATTGAAGGCAGGAAGAGAAGGGGACAACAGAGGACGAGATGGTTGAATGGCATCACCGACTCGATGGCATGAGTTTGACCAAGCTCTGGGAGTTGGTGATGGACAGGGAAGCCTGGCGTGCTGCAGTCCATGGGGTCGCAAAGAGTCAGACTCAACTGAGCGACTGAACTGACTTGGAGCATGCTAAACTCTGTGCCCAAACCAGGGTTAGGGAGGAATAAAGCACAATGGAGATGACGACATATGCACAGATTTCTAGAAAATAGTGTAAGTATTCCTCAGTTACCAGAAACCCAGAAAGAATTACAGACAGGATCCAGAGGCACTGTGCTGATTCAGTCTTCTAATTTGGAGAAAGCAATAGGCCCCCACTCCAGTACTCTCTCCTGGAAAATCCCGTGGCCGGAGGAGCCTGGTAGGCTGCAGTCCGTGGGGTTGCTAAGAGTCAGACACGACTGAGCGACTTCACTTTCATGCATTGGAGAACGAAATGCAGCCAACTCCAGTGTTCTTGCCTGGAGAATGCTAGGGACGGGGGAGCCCAGTGGGCTGCCATCTGTGGGGTCGCACAGAGTTGGACACGACTGAAGCGACTTAGCAGCAGCAGCAGCAGTAGTCTTCTAATTTGGTGCTCATCTGTAGAGGCTGATTTTCTTCAGCATTGTCTCTTCTGTTTGGCTTTTGTGAGGATAGTTCATTATTCTGGCTCTTCAGGCATTAGAGAAGAATTCTGGGACTCGAGTTCATTTTAACAACAGATTCTGTTTCAGGCAAGAAGACGTCCCGTCATCCCTTGCACCAGGATCTGCACTATTTCCCGTTCAGGCCCAGCAATAGCATCGTTTGTGCCTGGACAGCCATGGAGGACATTGACCGGAACAACGGCTGTCTGGTTGTGCTGCCGGGGACACACAAAGGCCCCTTGAAACCCCATGATTATCCCCAGTGGGAGGTAAGTCTGCTAGGTGGCTGAGTCTTGATCAGAGCCTTTTGTTGTTTTGATTTCACATCAGTATACATAAAGAGCTTTGCCTATAAGATGACATTTCCTTTCTTAGCAAAACATTGTTCTAGAATTTAGAATGAGGAGCAGGGAAAATTCCAGGATGTCTGATCAAATGATCACCTTTATTCTTTCAACAAGTACTTGAAGGCCAACCAAAGAGGTGGACTTTGGTGGTGCTATAAAAGATCTGAGATTACAAAGCCTAAATGCAGAGGTCAGGCACAAACCCGGTAGCAGCAGATGTGTGAGCCAAGTGAGTCGTACACACTGACTGGCAGCTCTCAGTAAAGAGGAGGATCGTCTGCTTCCACCTGGAGAGTCCAGCAGAGAGAGGCTCTGGGGAGGCCTGAGCAGCATTCCACTATGAGGCTGTTCCATGGTTTATCAATTCAGTTGGTGATGCTGGAGAACTGGGCAATGCTTTGGGGCCCATGAGTGAGGAGATCAAATCATTTCTTCAAGAACCTGGCACAGAATGTATTGCAGGAGTAGGAGTCCAGCGACAGAGAAACCGGAGAGGACACCCATAGCGTTTTAGATGTAAGGCAATAAGCTCTCAGAATCGCGTAATAATGAACAAGGTCGGAAGAGCACCTTTTGTTAAGACAAAAAGAGTACACATGTTTCTGTGAGATGTAAAGAATATGGCTTTCAGGACTTCTGTGTCAAATAGTTGGAATTCTTGAACTGAGGATTAGTGCTAGGTGAAAATACCTTGAGTCTAGATTCTGCTATAAACTCTGAAATCCTTCAGTTAAGTTGTGGTTTAGGAAAGGTTGTTGCAAGCAACAGAAGTGGGATCTCAGTGACTCAAGCTGAAGGGAGGGCCACAGGGACATGCAGCATCCGTGGGCAGGCTGCCAGCGCTGGAGGGTGAGGAGGAAAGAGGAAGCCCTTCTTCAGTGGGAAGAGTTGGGCTGCAGCACCTGGAGTGGTCAGGTGAACCTTGACTATGTCCAGTCGCTTCAGTCATCTGCTCAGATTCAAAGTAGAAGCAATGGGAGGTCAGACAAGCTTATCTTGCTCACACATGCACATTGGGCAGGAGGCAAAGACTCAACACAGTGCAATAGGGAAGTAGTCATTCCCAAAAGAATTTGAAGTTGGACTAGTCTTAGGAAAGGAAATGGGATGCTGTCCTCCAAAGACCCATAAAAGATTGCAAACATTGTTACTCTTCATTTCAGTTTGTTTCATAAAGATATAACTATTACCTAATGTAATAACTAACTTTGAAAATATTTTTAAAATAGTTAGAAAATAGTTTGAGGGACTTCCGTGGTGGTCCAGTGGTTAAGAATCTGCCTTGCAATGCAGGGGACACACGTTCAGTCACTGGTTGGGGAGCTAAGATCCCACATGCTGCAGAACAACTAAGCCCATGTGCCAAAACTGGAGAAGCATGGGCTGCAACTGAAAGATCCTGAATGGCACAATGAAGATGCCACGTGCCACAACAAAGACCTGATGCAGCCAAATACATTAGTTAAATAAATAAATATATTTTTTTAAAAAAGAAAATAGTTTGAAAACAAAGAATGAGTTTTGTTTTTTTCTTTTTGTGCAGTGACTGACCTGGAAAAACAGGGAGTAGAAAATATTTTAAAAGCTAATGTTTTTTAATTTACTATTCTTTCTTTACTCTGGATGTTACCTACGTGGTTTCTGGGCTGGGAAAGACCGAGCATTTTCTCTCTGCGAGTTGGGAGGTTAGTTAACTTCTTAGAGATATTCCTAAGTAATAGAGGAGTGATTGATGCAAGTTCCAGGTGAGGAGAAGAGCATGCTGGGAAAGAATGAGCATGGGTTCACCAGGAAAGGTGGTTTCCTGCATTTCCACAAAATCAAAGCTGATCTGGGTCTTCAGTTATCATTCAGTAATGAACAGTAGGTAGACATTCCAACTTTTTCATCAGGTCTAAAAAATTCATGATTTTAACATCAACACATGGCTTTCTAAAAGCAGTCAACTGAGAAGGTTTGGTATATGGAAGTGTTTTTTTTAATCTTATTTATTTATCTCTTCCTCTTGAAAGAACTTAGAGAAGCTTTGCTTTCCCTGGTGAATCATTGATAAGAGTTTTAATTCTCGGCTTCGTCACTTTTGGACTTGCCTTCTCTCGTGTTTTTAGGGAGGAGTCAACATCATGTTCCACGGGATCCAGGACTATGACAAAAACAACGGCCGGGTGCACTTGGTGATGGAGAAGGGAGACACCGTTTTCTTTCACCCTTTGCTCATCCATGGATCTGGTCGGAACAAAACTCAAGGATTCCGGAAGGTACACGTTCACATCACAGCACCGTTTGAAGATGAATGCATGAGGAAGAAAAGTGTCCCGATACATGAAAAGTTAAAGGATTTGTAACTTTTAACTCAGCTGCCCCTTAGTCCGGTGCATTTTCCAGGATATATTTTTGTTTCCCTCATCCTTTGTTGCTTATGGCAGTAAGAAGCCAGATGACCTTAGGATGCCATCACTAGTGAACATCATGGAATTGCTCCAGACAGAGAGCTTAGTAACTTGGCAACTGACAGCATGTTTTCAGAGGAAAAGACAAAGGCAGACATACATATCAAATAATAAGATTTGAATGTATACAGGTCATAGAAGGGGAACGTCTGTAATATTATTGCTATTGGTTAAAATATTATTGATTGGAAAGGAAGGTGTGAATTGGCCACCCGGAATTCAGATAGGGCCATATTTTTCACTCCTTAGCCTCAGAGTGTTTTCAGCTTTATGAGATCAGTGCTTACATTAACAACTGACAGAATTTCTCATAAATTCCCAGATTTCTTGCTTCTCTAAAATTCATCAGCTTGATGATACGCTGGGCTCACATTTCCCTAGGATGACATGGCTGTTGATACTAAATATTAGTGTCTTCTTTGCAGCTGAGTGAAGCTTTCCAGTTTATCGCAACAGCCCTCTTGTCTCCCTGTGTTTGAGGGTTAGTTGTCAGATTTCATCCTCCATTCATTCAGATATCCACCAGGCTCAACAGGACTGACATGAGCGTGAGGCAAGAAGGCAGTTCCCTCAGAGGCTCAAAAAAACTCAGTATGCAGTTAAATAAAATCTTAATGCCTTGGTTAAAAGAAATGAAAAATTAATGCCCAAAAGTCCATGGGTGAGCACAATGCCAAAATTAAGAGAAAATTCAGACCCTCTAAAACCATGATACCCAGAACTGTGACAAAGGAGGGTACAGGCAGTTCACTGGAAATAGTGTGTTTTAATATACTAACGTGGTGGTTTTTCAATATTTTTGCCTGCTTTAAAGTTTGGGAAAATATAACCATGAAAAATGCATAACAGCGTACATGTAGGAATGTACATTTCTTCTCTTTTGCCTCAGGCTCCAATGTGGTATAGAATAGTACTAGGGTTTCCATGGGAAATAAAGTTTGTGACTCAACTGCCTAGAAATCTGTAAGAAGTAGGAAGATCTTCTGATGGGTGCAGTCATCCTAAGATAAGTTGTGATAAGGAAGGTGAGTTTCAACTATCGCCTTGCAAGTTAGATCTGTTTATAAGTCCTTTGAGACTGGGGAGAATCAAGTAACTTCCATCTTAGCTTCAAAAGGAAACAAGATGAGTATTTTATGTGAATGCAATCAGACTGGAATTGCGCTTTGGATTGGAGAGGGGTGTCTGTGTATTATTTTCCCTTGCAAGGTCTTTTCAGTTTTTCTTCCCCTATCACCTGTGACCATTGAAATACCAACTCATTACAACCTTCAGTAACTTCTGTAACTGAGAAGGTGATGAGAAACCCTGCAATACATTCCTTAGTAGGACTTGGCAATATCCACTCATTCCAAAAATCAAATGCTAAAAAGTTAAAGACTTCTTCCTTACATAATTCTGTTCCCTGCCCCTTATATACTTTTGGATCATAATAATTTCCACAGGCAATTTCCTGCCATTTCGCGGATGCCAACTGTCACTACATAGATGTGGAGGGCACCAGTCAAGAGAACATTGAAAAGGAAGTTGTCAGCGTGGCCAAGAAAAAGTATGGATTTAAAGAAATCACTCTGAAGGTATGTTTGTATGAAATTACAAGGAAAAGATCTGGGTTTTTTCCTTCAGATGTTTAATAGTGTCATACCTGATTCATTTTGAAGGTATAAAGTGCTTAGGTTTACAGCTCCTTTTGGAAACCTTGCTGAGACCGTCTAAGAATGACAGTGGGTTTTGTTTGTACTGCTTGCTTGCCCAGTGTGGTGCACCTGTATTCTGTAAATCTTCGGGCAGGCCATCGTGTTCCAGAATGGACAGGTAGGAGAGGAAATAGCAGATTCAGAGATGAGGAAATGGAAGACAAAGCAACTGTCTGAACTCATAGCTCTAAAAGGTTTTGGCTGTCAATCACAGGCCTCCTTTATTCATAAAGAAAGCAATTCTCAATCAAGAATTTATTAGGGTCAGTTTGCACTGGGTTTTTAAGGAGAGCCGGCATATAGTAGAGATGGTAGACAACTGATGTTTTTCATAGTGGTGTTAAGACAGTATTTCATATGCCCGCCTAATTAATCCACCTCACCATAGATTATTTTTTTTTTAAAGTTTTACTTTGCATTGGGTTATATAACCAATTGACAATGTTGTTATAGTGAGATTGTTTGTTTTTTACTGGTGAACATTCCATGCTGTTGCTGATCAATAACAAATTATCAGTCAAGGCAACTAAATAAACTTAATCTGTATTGTAGATGATTATGTTTGGGGCTCTGAAGCAAGAAGTTGAACTTGTTAGATAATTGTAAATGCATCATCTATTCTCAGGGTGACATGACCCCCAAGTAGACTGAATGTAATGACAGCGCAGGGCCTCCCAGTACTTTGAAGAGCCTCGCATGCCACCAGCAGCCTTCTGAAACAACTTCCCACCTCAGGAGTCTTCCTCCACCCTTGAGCCATTTTCTGTCTAGAATCTCTGAATGAATCCCCATATCTGAAGATGCTCTGGCCTCACATTCACACCTCCTGGATGGTTTGTCCTTCCTTTGTCCAGTAATAAATAGGTTAATTTAATTAGATTTAATTAGATTTAATTTTTCCAGTTGGGTCTTCCATCCAACACCCTGATATTTAAGCCAGGAAAAAAACACATATATTCTGTTTGAGGTCGGTCAGGTTTCTAATAATCAGTTCCTCTATTTCTTTTCATGACTGTCTTAGCTATAGTTTATCGACTTTACTTAGAACAACAACACTAACTTTGCTATGGAGTTCTTTGCGGGCACAAAAGCAAGTCCCTGTCCCTTTTCTTCACCAACACTCAATGGAGCAGTTGAGATAGCTCCACGATGTTAATGAGAACATGAAGAGTTCAAGAGACTGGCCTCAGTTACTTAAGTGACCAAGATTTCAGAGGAGGTCCAATTCCAAAATCATTCTGTAGCATACTTTGCTGTTTGCAGAAAAATAAGCAAAAAAGTTTGAATTGTCTTATTAGGAACTAAGAAGAAAAAACCAATCCAGTAGCCTAGGACATCATTTGCAGGAGCAGATCACTCAGAACGGGGCAGGCAAACATCACCAAAGACAGCGGGACCTTAGGTATTAAACTGCTTTGTGAGCAAACATAACAGCCAGTCCGAACACCTGTAATCAACACAAGTGCCAAGTAAAGCATGATGACAGTGTGAGGACTCACTGTCTTGGCTTATGAAACATGATTTTAGATATTAGCAGGTAAATTAATTGGAGTCTCAGAATGTGGTTTTTATTTACTACCTTATGACTATTGTGGAGGGCTGTCTTTATTCCCCCCTATTTAACGATGACTCGATGCCAGAAATCTTTGTCTTGTGGTGAACAGGTAAATCCAAGTTCCCAGAAACTCATTGTGTTTGGTATTATTTGCAGGATGTTTGGACATTTCGAGGGCGTGTCGTGAAAGGACAAAGAATCAACCTTTGAAATAGCCCTTCGCTCAAACTCTTGTCAAGAAAACCAAGGTGCAACAAGATGTCAGAGGAAAATCTTTTCTCAATGAGATGATCTAATCGCTTCTAATCCATGTTAACAAAATCCAAGTGCACGGATGCAGTTCTTAATTGCATATGGGTAATAATGCAGTATGGTGGGATGCCTTTAATGGATATAAGATAGTAAAAGTGAAATATTACTGTTTTAAGGAAAACTTGGGGTTGCAACTAACAAAGGTGATGCATATAAAGAAGTGTGTTAAATCAGTTTCTTTCATTCAGTTAACTCTTTACCCAAGCAAGGTTTAATGCTCTGAAACAGAGAACCCACCACCTCCCAATTTTGTGTTGTGTGAGATTTCTTTTCAAGTCTGGAACAATGAATATTAGAGGTGCAGTTAGTGAAGGGCCTAAGAAGGGTATCAGGTTGTAAAATAAGGGTGGAAACTCACATTCTAACACAGGATTCCTTCCATGGCCTCTCTAGGCCACCACTCTCCTTAACAAAACAGGCTGGATCTTTCCAAGTCTTTTTCTCTAAAGAAAGCAGACCAGGGTTAACTTTCTCTGTCAATTCATATTCAGCATGGCAGCTGAAAACATTCAGCATTTATGAATGAAACCTAACCTCTTTCAAGGTTCAGGAAAGCGTTTAAAATAGTTTTGGTTTGGATATCAAGTGACATGAGCTACAGAGATTTATTTTAATAGAACATTGCATTTCTCCATCAGCTGAGGGCAGCAAGGAGTCATAATTCTTATTTTTATAAATTCTAGTTGAAGCTTTAATAAGAAAAACATAATAAGGAAGAGTCCCTTTCTTTAAGTAAAGCATGTGTTTTCCTAAGTGTCGATTCACTGTTTCTGTCACTTTCTCTGTAAGGACACCCAGTTTAAGCTCAGGTTCAGGTGGAAACTTGGGAAACATGAGAATCCCTGACATGCTCTCAGTACTATGGAATAACTGGAAATAAATGTGTATGTGGAAAGTCAGCATAAACAGCATGTATGGGGCACTGTTTGCAAGATTCAAACTAAGTTTAAAATACATTTGAAAGCTTCAAGAGGAAAATCAGACAGCAGAATGTGTCATCTTCTTGGTGCAATTTTGAGTGAACTGCAGCTAGTCAGTCAGGAAACATTTCCCGTCTTTTCTGTGTCCCTTGTTTCAACTAGTTCATCTAACAAATACCCAAGCATCTGTTACTGAATGAGGTTCTTTTTGCACTAGTTTCTAGAAATGTTTTTCAAGAGGAAATGCTCTGACCAGAGATTTGCAGCAAAGAGAAGAGACAGAACAGTCTCAGGTGTGCCTCCTCCAAGGAGTGGGGGAGTGCTCCATGTGGAAGCCCGTGGAAGCCCATGGGAAAGGGGACCGGGAGAGTGCAGTCAGGTATCATCTTGATCGTTGTGCGCAGGTGTGAGTAAGCCTTGGGCCTCTGAAAGTTCAGAAGTAGAGATGCGTGGCAGAGACTGGGGCTTCCCAAGGTAGCTCAGCTGGTAAAGAATCCACTGCAATGAAAGAGGCTTTGGTTACTCTGCTGAGTCAGGAAGTTTCCCTGGAGAAGGTGGAAGGTTGTTGCTGAACTGTGAAAGACTCTGGGATTCTTGTCTCCCGAAGAAGAATTCAATCCAGGGCCAGAGATGAGGCTTGATTTCTCATAGTTTTTGTGTAATAAAATTTTATTAAAAAGAGATAGAGATAGATAGAGAAAGAGATAGAGAAAGCTTCTGACATAGATATCAGAAGGGGGCAGAAAGAGTACCCCCTGCTAGTCTTTAGCTGGATGTTGTACAGCTACTAGCAGTCTGCTAATTAAAGAAAGGAAATGTCTCAAAACCCAGAGAATGTGTTGAGTCATCTCAGAGGTGAGTCATCCTGGGTCATAAAATGATTGACATGAATCTTGAAGAAAGACAGATTTCCATACAAATATATAGTTTCATTAACATAAATAGCATATTAAAAAGCAGAGACATTACTCTGCCAACAAAGCTCTGTCTAGTCAAGGCTATGGTTTTTCCAGTAGTCATGTATGGGTGTGAGAGTTGGACTATAAAGAAAGCTGAGAGCCGAAGAATTGATGCTTTTGACCTCTGGTGTTGGAGAAGACTTGAGAGTCCCTTGGACTAGAAGGAGATCAAACCAGTCAATCCTAAAGGAGATCAGTCCTGGGTGTTCATTGGAAGGACTGATGTTGAAGCTGAAACTCCAATACTTTGGCCACCTAATTCGAAGAGCTGATTCATTTGAAAAGACCCTGATGCTGGGAAAGATTGAAGGTGGGAGGAGAAGGGGACGACAGAGGGTGAGATGGTTGGATGGCATCACTCACTCAATGGACATGAGTTTGAGTAAACTCTGAGAGTTTGTGATGGACAAGGAGGCTTGGCCTGCTGCAGTTCATGAGGTTGCAAATAGTTGGACACTACTGAACTGAACTGAACATAGATTAGGAGAACAATATATGAGTGTAACATACTGGCTTGTTAAGTCAGTGCTGAGCCTTAAGTCAAAATGGACTTGAAGACAGAGTCTAGGGTAAATGCATAGTACATTAACATAGCTTAAGACAAATGTTTCCATAAGGAAAATGCATTGGTTAGCTCAAGGTTTGAGAAAGTTCAGGTGGAACTAGGTGTCATTATGGCAACACAGAATTTTAAGAGAAACCTCTTTTTAAATTTGTATAGAGAAGGGGAAAAAATATAACACTAGTTTGTTTCCTCCTGCCGCTTAAGGGAGAGAGGAAAAAAAAGTCTGACACTTGCAGCCTATTTCCTCTGTTTGGAGACCCCTGGCCTTCCCACCTGTTACCCTCTCAAAGGGATAGGCTACCCACTCTGGTATTCTTGGGCTCCCTGATGGCTCAGGTGATAAAGAAATGGCCTGCAATGTGGGAGAGGCCTGGGTTCGATCCTGGGTTGGGAAGATCCCCTGGAGGAGGGCATGGCAACCCATTCCAGTATTAGTCCATGGGGTCGCAAAGAGTCGGACACAACAGAGCAACTAAGCACAGTGGAGACCGAGTGGGGTGGGGTTCAGCCCTGTGGTGTCAGAAGTTCATCCAGCAGACACTGGCACATTCCCAGATGGAAGGTCAATGGTCCTGTTATAGCCACGCATTCTGGGACACAGACTCACTCAGAAGGACAATGCAGATAGTGGAGTTCATGCAGTTTATTACACCTGTGGGCCCAAGGCAGAGTTTCCTCTTAGCCAAGGAGCCCGACCGACTTTTGTGGAAACATCATATACTTTAAGTGTACTGCTCAAGCCCACATCCCCAGAGTCCTTAAACCTAGCCTGGAAAGTGTTAAAGGGAGATACAGCCAGGTTACAGCCATGATTCATCATCAGAAGGTCAGCTGGTTATACACTGTAGCCTACACCCGGGGGGCCGTAAAGATTACAAAGGTGACCAACTACATAGGGGATTATCACCTTCTTTTTGGCAAAGGGAAATCTTGGTATGGAGTCTGGTGTTTATTAGTCTGGGAGGCCAGTTTGACCGTAGATATGTTATCCCCATGACTACCAGGCACATGGTCCAAAGTTCACTGAAAGTGCAAGATGTTGTTTCCTTCTTTTTCAAGATGGAGTCAGCTCAGACTGTTCCTTTCCTCCCTCATTCCCCCTTCTTGATGCTCTCAACTTCCAGTGTGAGCATCACTCATTGGGATGTACTGCATTTTAGGTTTCCTGGTATATATATATATATATGGGTAAATGAAGTTAGCCTCTGTGATACAAAGTTGATAACACACCAACACAGTAGAGAATACAAGGTCCACTTAACAGAATCAACAGAACAGCTTTAACAATGGTTAATATAGTTTTTCACCAATCCCCCTTTACCCATGATAGAAGAGAAGTCCAAAAAGGCAGATTATCATCAGACATAGCTTTTACCTGACCTTTCATGTCATCTAGGGTAGCTGATATATTGCCAGATAAATCAGGAATATATACACAACATTCAACTTTAATTATACCGCAGGTCCCTCTTTGTGCTGAAACTATGGTTAGTCTCAAGATGATACCGGCAAGTCTTTGTAGCAGCAGTTGATTGTAGAGGTTCATCTCTTCCTCTTCTTTCAGATGATCTTGGTTTCACAGGGATCAGTGGGGGCCTTTTGTGTAGTCCACTCAGTGTCCTCCAGGTTTGCATGGTATGCTGTCTTCACCCTTGTGTGGTGCATCCAGGGAGTGACACCGGCAACTTGACAGCCATAGGCGTGGTTAGAACAACAGATAAGTGTACGGACCCTTCCAACCTGGGGCCAAGGAGTCGTGTTTCCAGTCCTTGACCCACACCTGATCACCAGGCACAAATTCATGAATCTGTTCCCCAAGGGGGAACGGCACTGTTTTTTGTACAGACTTAGTTACCTGATTTATTACCTTACCCAGTTGTTCCATCTGCTGTGAAATCTCATCCCCCGTTACCTGGGGCAAATTTGTTGACACCTGTTTTATTATGGGTGGGGCCTCCCATACACAATTTCATACGGAGAATAGCCATGGGACCGTGGGGTCATCCTGAGTCTGAGCAGAGCCATCGGAAGCAAGTCCATGCAGGAGCAGTCATTCTCTATGATCCACTTGCAAAGTGTCTCTTAAGTTTCCGGTTGGTTTGTTCCACCATCCCAGAACTCTGGGGCCTACATGCTATATGTAATTTCCACTTGATATTTAGAGCTTTACATACCTGTTGAATTAAATCAGCTACAAAGGCAGTGCTGTTGTCTGATTCTATACTGGTTGTGAACCCAAATCTGGGAATTATTTCTCGAAGCAGACAGTGAGCCCCTTCATTTGCTTTTTCAGTTCGGGTGGGGAAGCCCTCCACCCATCCTGAGAGTGTACATAACCTGACCAGTAAATAATGATAGTGTCAGCAGGGCTTCGTCTCGGTAAAGTCCACTTCTAAATGTTCAAAGGGTATAGTGCCTTTTACCTGTATTCCTGGAGGTTTTGGTTTATATCCAGGGGAAGCATTGACCTGTGAGCAAGCAGAACAGTCCAAGGATTCCATTCTACATAGGGAGGAAAGTCCTGGAATTAACAACTATTTTCGAATTAATTCTTCCATTTTGTCATGTTCCAAGTGAGTTGTCTGGTGAACCTGAGATACCCGAGTGGGAACTAACGCCTCGGGTACCAGTAACCTGCCATCTGGCAGTTCCCACCAACCTTTTTCATTTTTGGTGGCCCTTTCTGCTTCACCCAGCTGGTCTTGGGCTAGATTATACTGTGAGAAGTCAAACATTAACTCAGACATTTTTGAGAGTACAAAGGTTCTGATAGATCCTCCACCAGCAGCCCCAAATTTCTCGG